CAACACTAATTGCCGACGACATCTTTCTGATGTCACCGATGACCGTACAGGTTACATCATCAGGGGCATAATTCACGACCTAAATCACGAACTTCATACGGCTGTCGAAGCAACCAAAACCAAGAAAATCAAATCTAAGTACCCCAAGCTCAAATCACGAACAACGCTAACCAAAAGAGTTTGGCAGTTACCATCCCACCAGATTTCCCCCTAACTGATGGCCAACGTTCTGTCCTCGAGCGTGGACTGAATCTCATTCCGCTGACGAACCGATGGGACGAGTTCACCACCCGTCAGGACGTCGTGAAGTTCTTCCGCCGTATGCGTTTGCGAGCCTTCTTCCACGACAAGGATTCCAGGTCAGTTCGTTCTGATTCGGGTACGTCTACTCAGATTGAAGACTTGTCTGAGGTCATTGCTAAGCTTTCGCCCACCAAGTCCACCTGGTGTCCAGCATCCGGTCTCAACAAAACCGTCGACCGCGTCATTGAAAACTGTCGCGCAGAAATTAAACGCCTTCAATTCAAACCTAGTCTCAAGTACATCAACATTCTATCAGCTGAACGCGAAGCACTGAGGTCTCTTAAGAACGATGATACCATCGTCATTAAGAGGGCGGGTAAGGGTAGCGCTACGGTGGTTTGGCATAAGGACTTATATATCGCTGAAGTGGAACACCAACTGTCTGACGTTGCGTCCTACGCTACGGTTGACCGCGACCTTACACAAGAGCATCAAGATTTTGTTGTTAGCTCTGTCCGAGGTTTCATTGACTCTGGTGACCTCCCCCTAACGCAACCAAACTGGTCGTTCCCAACCCACGCACGACAGTCTTCTACTTGCTACCCAAAATTCACAGATCTGGAAATCCAGGCCGTCCCATCGTGTCTGCTTGTAGTTGTCCCACTGAATTGATATCCAACTTCCTTGACACCATTCTAACACCCATTGTCAAAAAGCTCTCGAGCTATGCCAAGGATACTAATCACGCTTTACGTCTGTTCGATGAATTTGAGTTCCTAGGTTCATCCAACTTCCTTTTCACCATGGATGTGAAATCTCTTACACATCCATTCCCCACGTGGGTGGTTTGGCTGCGCTCAAACGCTACTTAGATCTCGGCCAGACTCGGGATCCTCCTACCAGCACTCTGCTCCGTCTGGCTGAGTTGGTGCTCACATTGAACAACTTCGCGTTCAACGGTGAGCACTACACTCAGACCAGTGGTGTGGCTATGGGCACACGGATGGGACCAAGTTATGCCTGTCTGTTTGTTGGCCACATCGAGGAGCAGATGCTGACCCAGTATCAGGGCGTGCAGCCGTTAATGTACCGGCGATACATCGATCATATAGGCGTAGTTGGTGCTATCAACGGTACATGCTATGATGTTCAGAATTTCTTAGCGTTTGCGGATGCCTTTCACCCAGCACTGCGCTACACATCTGATGTGTCGCAACACTCTGTTATCTTCCTCGACGTGTGCGTCCAGATCTGTGCGCGGAAACTTGGCACAACCGTGGATTACAAACCCACAGATTCCCACAGCTACCCGCAGTATCAATCGTCTCACCCCCTCAAGTGCAAGAACTCCATCCCTTACTCTTAGTTTCTCCGACTGCGTAGGATTTGTAGTAGCGATGCCGAGTTCTCTGCGCCAGGGAAGGAAATGCTAGGTTTCTTTCATCAGCGCGGTTACCCTCTGGTTATCACAGACGCTGTCTTCAACGCCATATCTTCAATCCCATGCGAAACGGCTTTGAAACCCCCCGGGGTCAAGCAACGTGATTGCGTCCCCCTCGTACTTACATACAACCCTCGAAACATCCCAGTACGTAATATTCTTCTCAAACAGTTTCGTACACTCGGTAATGATGTGGCCACAGCTTCCATTTTCGCCGAGCCCCCGATTTGCGCATTTAGAGGCGATCGGTCTGTCGGGGACATGGTAGTACGTTCCCGGTTGGATTCCGTCTCGCCGTCAAAAGCAGGCAGCAATTCCCCTTGTCAGCACCCCAGATGTAACACCTGCCCCTACATAGTTAACAGCCAGTCGGTTGTCGGCCCGGCGGTAGATGCAGAGTACGCGGGGATCATACATGTGTAACCAGTGGTTCACATTTCAAAATAGCAGGAACCAAATTTCAAGTTAATTTAATCCCCTTTTGAAAAACTCTTGACTTCACTCAATTCAGGATTCACGATACAAAAGAGGTTTTGCTTTATTGGAGGGAAAGAGCCAAGCCAATCAATACGAGAAATACAAAGTAAATGCAGAGAACACCAGTGGCCAAAAGTGAAATATGAGGTTTACAGAGAATGCAGGATCCTGCTAAGTTAAAATACACTTTGAGCTCATGAAAAAACTTGGCGCCAATGTTCTAGATGTACAGATGAGTTGCGACGAGTCGTTCCAAGGTGAGTTGCGACGAGTCGTTCCACGGTGGGATGACAGGAGTCCGTTGTGTTGTGTATAGCAATCGGCAAAAGTGAAGGGCAAAGCTCAGCAGAAGAAATGTAACTGTAACACAAAAGAATACTTGCAGATCTTGCAAGGTTAATGCTGGTGATTAGTGCTGCAGATGCCTTGGTGTACTTGTGCTGTGTCTGCAAGTCACAATATATGTAGCTTGGTTGCTGAGAGGCCTGGAGACAGCTCTTCAGGTGGACTACAGAAACTCCCGTCCGGCACCCTCTTTCAGAACATGCAGTTCAGTAACTAAGATAGAGAGCATAGCGGTCCATGCCACATTACTAATACAACCACATTCAGACATTTGTGGTTTTAGTAGCTACGTTTTTAGCAGTTACGTGCTTTAGTAGCTGTACATCGTGTAGGAAAACCTCACAATAAAATACCCTCCTGCATGTAAGTCAACATGTGAAGGAGAAATATCTGAGGCACTGACCTAGAACAAATCTTAAATCTAGACAGGATTTCCCTGGGAATACATTTCTCAGTCCAACACATCATAAGGTAGGAATCAATCTAGGAAAGCTCCAACTGTTAATCAGACTGGTTATATGTACAATGTAGGTATATATAAAAACAAACCTAAAGCTTGACCGAGAGACAATTCATATTTCTAATTTCTGATGGATTCAATGCATATCAGAATCTGCCGAGTAAACCAAACCCTTTTCAAATAAATCGTAGTCGTCGGAAAAGCATTTCAAAAGCATCAGTCCAAATTGTAGGACTGCAGTCGGTCTATCACTTACACCATGGATGTGATGGGTGATAAGTCCTGACTTACACATATATTCAAAATCTGCTCATATTTCTCAGTGCACTGAAAAGCACAACTTATTCCCAGTCTCCACTAAGTTATTAGTCAAGGTGATTGAAAAGTACACTCAAACTGCCTCAATTAATTCACGAAACACATGTCCTAAACTAAATGAAAAAGCAAAGCTTTCTGAGGGAACATCTCTTTTGGATCTAGTCTCAGAGCAGTACTGGCTAGTGGAGTCTACGAGATACATGTATCAAAACTTTCAACATCATAAATCTGCTGGGACTTTTCAAAAATATCCCAAAGTCCAGACTTCTTGTAATCGATCGGTAAACTTCTTTTCACAATTTACAACAAGAGTCACAGTGAAAAATACATTGACTAAACCCCAGAAAAGTTACACAACAGTATGAAACGATATAAATAGGAACTCAAACTTACCTAAGATAGAGAGCTAACACTCGTGAACATAAGGGGAAAACTTGGATTTTGAAGTCCTCCAGTCCAAAGAAAAGTAGTGCAGAGCGCAGACAGAGTTCGGCAGGCATGTAGTCAGCACGATGGCAAAGTTTGGAATGCCCAGTTTGCCAAAACTCTGGGGCAAACTGCTCCCCAGAACATGCCTTTGCCACATGATTAGCTCACGCTCTCATTGGACAACTTAAAAGGTGGCACACACGATTCCAATACTGATTGGTCATCTAGTATCTAGGCAGATGAGCACTCAGCAGAAGTTTATGGCTTTCACAGCTTGGAGTAAGGTATGAACAACAACTATGGATTAAGTGTCTCAACATCCTGCTGATCTCCTGAAAAGTTTACTTGGAGTGTACACACTGGTGTACTAGTCAGAAAGTAAAGGCAGTGGATACAAAGAGCATCCTGTGATCTCCTAAGAAAGCAGGAACATTAAAGACAAACTGAACAAAGAGCAGGCTTTTTGACAAAAGGAATAGGCAATAGATCAAAGGTTAACCACTGGAACACTGCTTACCAGTAGGAAAGTCAAAGCTCAGGAAAGAACAATTTAAGTATGCAAAAGGAAAACATAGTCATGAAGAAATAAAATTTTAAGTTGTAACCCGAGACCTCTTTTGGGACGTGGTTACACATGCATTACAAGTAATGTGGTTTATTGCATTACATGTCGTCGCTGTGGTAAACTGTACATCGGAGAATTGACAAGAATATGATATAAAATCAGTGGTCTGGCATTATTTGATTGTCCGGCATTCGGTAACTGAGTACCTTCTTCAGGGCAGTTTTCGGAGAGACCAATCGTCGCCTTGGTCACCACTTCGAGGAACACTTGCGAAGTGTGCGCCAACAAACACCTGGTCTCACTGTTGCGCAGCACTTTTGCGCGCCGCCACATACCCTCGGTGACGTAAGCGTCTGCATCCTGCGAAAAGCGTCATGTGATGTACAGCGTAAGGAACTGGAGCAGCGCGTCATTTTCGAACTTCGAACGCTGCATCCAGGGGGAATGAACGTGGATTTCTCTGCGTTCATTCAGAATTGAATCTGCTTGCTCTGAAGAAGGTACTCAGTTACCGAAAGCTCGGTAATCACATATTCCAGAGCACTGATTTTATATTACATTCTTGTGTTTGTTGGTCGCCACCAAAGAGCTCTCGGGTCGCACAAAGTGTCTCCAAGGTCTCCCATTGTATGCATATCCTACAACGCGAGCGTCCAAAACTCTCACGTGGCGTCTGTTTAAATTACGTCACAATGACAAACAATGAGAAATCCAAACTGCACAGGGCAGTAACCATGGTTTGAACTTTGCACACGTGCGACAACCCCAACAGTATACCATGTTGAAACAGATACCGTTTTGCCACCGGATTGATAAGTTACGCTTACGCTTACGAGAGGCTTACCTCGCAGTTGTTTATATTGTTCTGCAGATTGTTTGCTGATTGATCACATTATTTGAGAATGAGGTAGGTAATAATTGATTTTCTTTTATATCCAGGTGACAAATTTAAGTTCGAAATAATCAGTTCAAGTTCAGTGCTTGTGTGATTTGTTATTTTGACGTGCAAGTACCAAGGTTATGATGGGTGGTGTGAAGTCTTCGTTTGACATCCAAGGTTGAACAAGTAACTGTTACTCAACGTTGAATAAGTAACCGTTGACATTCTGCGGCCGATTAGGATGCACATCCCTTGAAACGATGGAGTGAAAAAAATGGTGCCACCTACATTTCAGGGCTCGTTTGACCTCGAAAAACCCTATGCGCGCCCCAGGTTGTGAGGAGTTCTCGCTGATTGAGGTGAACAATGACGTCAGATTCAAGGGAATCTGAAGGCGGGGCATCGGGTTTGGGTATTTTATTTCGATTTGAGAAAAGTGAGGTGTGATGCATTCACTTTCCTACTCTTGTTTGCAAGCAAAGAACTCCATCGACAAGACTACAGTCAAAGCCGTTTTGACTGTGGAAAACTGAGTTGCCCCAGTTGAAATGGAGGCAACCTGGTCGCTAAAGTGAACAGAAACACTTCGAAAAATAAGTTTAGACCCGAGGCGTGAGCTTGATGTGTATTATTTGGATTGACTGAAATAGTTTCGATGAAAACAGCAAGTAGGCCCTATATAAACTAACCGTTTTTCCTATTATGTAAAAATCCGTCGCTTACATTTGTGGGCTTGTTTGACCCTGAAAAGCCCTATGCCTGTGCAAGGTTGCCTTTGTGGGGGAGAGTTTATACTTCATTACCATAAACGTTTGCATTTCAGATCAATCTCAGTGATTCTTGCAGCTGGCGCCATTGGCGCTGGTATTGCAGGGTTTGCTGTCTTCAGAAGACTGGCTTCCAGATCTCAAGAGGAGATTGCCATGGAGACAGCATTGCGAAGAGTCTGGAAACAAGATGAGGCATCGTACGAAGAAGTGGGACTCAATGACATCAAAAAGTATGTTTGATGGCCGATCAAGCTCAACCAATCTTTGTCCGAATCAGAATGAAAGCATTCACCAATCGGTGAAAACCTGCAACATAAAAAGAACACTTAACAAAGGAATAGTTTATGCCGGTCAACAAATAAATGTGACAGTATATACTGAGGCACTCAAGACTCTCTTTCAAAACTGGGTGGGAATTTTAAAATTCTAGTCGTATTTGAACATTACATCTTTTCAGCAAATGTGTGAATCTTGTTCTGACTAAATTGCTGACAACTAAAGGTAGTTTGTTTGCAGTCATGCATTCATCCTTATAAGGACAACTGTTGAAAACTAAAACTTTGTTTGGTCACAATCTGTTTGGTAATACTGTATTAGCGAACGGATAAATCTTGAAAAAAAGAAGATTTTGAGTAAATACTTGAAACTTGAAAATGGAACACTAAAACTATTGATACACACTTTTGTTCCACTATTTTATAAGGTAGTTTTGCGCCATTTTGGTTTCTATTTTCTGGCTTGTTTCCATGTCACGTCATATCAGAGAGGAAACCTCAAATTTCTATCGCACAAAAATTTCTTTTTTTTCTTATATTTAATTGGACTAAAGTTTCTTCTTTTCTGGCGTATTGTGTGAATAATTAGCAATAAGCCAATGGTAGATCTTTTCACATTAATGTTTTCAATCAGGAAATTGGGGTTTACAATTTGAATGTGATACACGTATAGATTCTGCTGTAGGTTAAAATGTCAGGTGCTCTAACTTTTTGATTTTTATAATTAAGATTAAAATATATAAAAAGTAAGCAGTTTACAGCAGCTTTCATATTTTACTTTTCATATAAAAAGGTAAAAAGGACAGTGTCTTCCCTGAATGTCATTACAATAACATCATCAGTTGTCCAAAACAGAATGGACAACTTTAAACGTTTAAAAGTTCACTGTTCAATAAACTTAACTGCAAAATAGGGATAATCTTTGCCTTCTACCTGGTAAAAAAATTGGATTTGGGACATATTCCTACCCCCAAATCAATTCAAACATTTACAATAGCACATTTGCTGTTTCTCAAGTTCAACTCTGCGTGGTGAATTAAAAACTACACAGGTGAGGCAAACTAAGCACATTGTTTGACTGTAGATGACTCTTGTAGATGTTTTAAAAACACTAATTTCATTTCGTTTTATTATCTAGTTGCTCTGTTCGAGGTGTCTTGAGGAGAACTGATCCTCGTCTTGCTCTTCAGGCTATAAGTGGAAGGTTAAAGCCTATGCCACAGAAACTGACCAACAGTCCCGACTCCACGTTTGAGACACCCACCAAGGATGAAGCAAGAAGCTCATCCAGTCTTAAAGACCACACTCCATTGAGTGGCACCAATGGAGGAGCTGGCCCTCTTCATTATAGCAGTGGGGAAAATGCAAGAAACAAACCCACTGCATCCATCAAAACTCAGGCTGCTGACCTTCCACGAGAGCCTGTCCATACATCAGTTGCACCTCCTAATGAAGAAACATCAAAAATGCTGAATGTAGAGAATAGCCCAGTGGATAGCAAACACACCGAATGCACCGTCTCATCAAGTGTTGATGCAACCAGCAACCAAACCCCTTTCTCCCCTGCCAAGAGAGCAAAACCATCCACACTGAAGAATGATTCTGCTGAGAAAGAACAGGCACATTTTATGTCCTCCTCAGGAGCTAAGAGTGAGGATAATACCAGCGACCAGGACATTGCTGGAGACTCCATCTCTGCTACAGAAGAGATAGAATCTGTCCTCGCGTCTACTCCAAAAACCTCATTTCGAGTAAAGAGTGCTCCTATAGAAAAAGAAGCTACCACACAGAACAAAGCCAAGGGAGTAACGAGCAGCCAAGCCATAGCTGGTGAAAACTATATAACCACTGATGAAGGGCCAGAGAAGGTCCCCTCTCACAGTCCAAAGGAAGACGATGTAGCAATCCCGTCCCAACTGAAGAATGATTATGCAGAGAATGAACAAACAGAATCTCTATCAACTACAAAAGCCCCTGTCATGGAAGAACCCAGCAACCAAGCCATTGCTGGTATAGACTACTTATCTATTGACACAGAAACAGGAAACGGCCACTTTTACTGTCCAAAGAAAGATGAAACATCAACCTCGTCCACGTTGGAGAATGTTGCTCCAACGAAAGAACAAGCAGGACCTCTAATAACAACCATAACAGCCAGAGTCAAGGAAGACCCAAGCAACCAAGCCATTGCTGATCTAGACAGCATATCCAAAGATGAGAAGATAGTGCAAGTACCCTCTTACACCCTAAAGAGAGATGAAGCAAGAACCCCATCTCAACTGGAGAATGATTCTGCACAGAAAGAACAAGCAGAGTCCCGATCAGACACAACAGCCACAGTCCAGGATAAACCAAACAACCATTCCTTTACTGATGAAAACTGCAACTCCGCCGATGAGATAACAAAGACTGTTCCATCTCACACTCTAAATGACAACACTACAACCCCATCTCAACTGGAATATGATTCTACACACAAAGAACAAGCAGGATCTCTATCAACAACAAAAACCACAGCTGATGAGGAACCAAGCAACCAGTTTGTTACTGATAGAAACTACGAATCTAACGGTGAGGAGACAGAGAGTATCCCCCCTCACAGCAATCAACCAGTTACTGAGGACAAGGCATCTACTTATGAGGAGATACAAAGTGTGCCTTCTTACACTCCACATGAAACTGTTGAAGCAACCAGCTCAAACTTGGAGAATGATCCTACCAAGGTCACCGGTAAAGATAAATCTAGTGACCAAGGCTTAGCCACGGACCACATCTCTGCTGATGAGAAGACAGGAAACATTCCCTCTTATACTGCTGGAGATGAAGACATTTCAACCCTGTCCCAGCTGGACAGTGACACAGCAGAAAGGGAAAAAGCAGAGTTTCTGCCAACCAAAGACACAGTCAAGGAAGAACCCAGCAACCAAGCTGTTGCTGATAAAGACTACAAATCCCAAGATGAGGAGACAGAGAGCATAATATCATCTTACACTCCAAAGGGAGACAATGCAAGAACCCCATCCCAACTGGAGTATGACTCCGCAGAAAAAGAACAAACAGGGAGCCTATCAACCACAGTCAAGGAAGAACCCAGCAACCAAGCTGTTGCTGATAAAGACTACAAATCCACAGATGAGGAGACAGAGAGCATAATATCATCTTACACTCCAAAGGGAGACAATGCAAGAACCCCATCCCAACTGGAGTATGACTCTGCAGAAAAAGAACAAGCAGGGAGCCTATCAACCGCAATCAAGGAAGAACTCATAAATAAAGCAGTTTGTGATGAAAACTACACATCATCTGATGAGGAGAAAGGGAGTGTTCCCTCTTACACTCCCAAGAATGATTCTGCAAAAAAAGAACAAGCAGAGTCTCTATTAATCACAAACACCAACGAGGAACCAAGCTACCAAGCTATTTTTGAGAAAGACTTCAAATCCTTAGATGAGGAGACAGAGATGATTCCATCTTGTAGTCCAAAAGAAGACAATGTTACAAGCCCGTCCCAACTGGAGCATGATGCAGAGAATGATCAAGCAGAGTCTCTATCAACCTCAAAAACCACAGTTGAGGAAAAATCCAGCGGCAGTGAAGCTGTTGCCAAAGACCAAATTACTGCTGTTGAGGAGACAGAGAGTGTTCCATCTTTCACTCCTAGGGGACGTGACACTCCAACCCTGTCTCAACTGGATAATAATCCTTTAGAGAAAGAACAAGCCATGTCTTTATCGAGCACACAAACCACAGACAAAGAACCAAGAAACCAAGCTGTTACTGATCTAGACTGCCAATCGTCTGATGTGAAAACAGTGCACACCCCCTCTCACACTATAAAGGAAGACATTGCAAAAACCCCATCCCAAGTGGAAAATCATGCTGCAAGGAAAGAGCAAGCAGAGGCCTTGTCAACTAAAAAAACTACAGTTGAGGATGAACAAAGCAACCATGCAGTTGCTGATGAAGACTTCAAACCCGATGATGAAGAGACAAGGAACCTTCCATCTTACACTCCAAAGGAAGAGTTGGCCACAACCAAATCCCAACTGGAGCATGAGTCAGCAGAGGAAGAACAAGCAGAATTTCCATCAACCACAAATGTCACAAGTAAAGAAGATCCCAGTGACCAAGCCATTGCTAAAGACCACAAGACTGTTGATGATGAGACAGAGAGCATTCAATCTTGCTCTCCAAGGAGAAACAGCACTATGCATATTACCCCATCCCACCTGAAGAATAACACTGCAGAGAAAGAACAGGCACGGTCTCTATCAATCACAAAGGTCACAGGTGAAGAAGAACCAAGCAACCAGGCTGTTGCCAAAGATTCCATATCTATTGATGAGGATGAGGAAACAGAAAGCGGTCCTACTTATACTTCAATGGAAAATGATACAGCAATCCCATCCCAACTGAAGAATGTTTGTGGACAGAAACAAGTCGGGAGTCTTTTCACCACAAGGGCAATGGGCAAGGATGAACCCAGCAGCCAAGCCATTACTAAAAACTTTGTGTCTAATGATGAGGAGACAGAAATCATCCCCTCTGACACTCTAAAGGAACATGACTTAGCACCATATTCCAAACTGGAAAAAAGTCCTGCCAAGTTCAAAGGTGAAGTTAAACTCAGTATTAACCAAGATTTTGTTACAGACCACTTCTTTGCTGATGAGAAAACAGGAAACGACTCATTTCACACTGCTAGAGATGATGACATGGCAACCCCGTCCTGGCTAGCAAATAACCCTACAGGCAGGCAGAAAGAACAGGCAAGGTCTGTATCAACCACAAAGGGCAAAGGTCATGACAAACCCAGCAATCAAGATATTGCTGAAGACCATATCTCTGCTGATGAGGAGACAGAGCACTCGTCCTCTTATACTCAAAGTCAAGATGACAAGCCAGGCCCGTCACAACTGGAGAATGATCCTACAAATGACAAAGGAACAGACAGCATGCCCTCAGCAAATACCACATTTGATAAAACTACACAACTGCAGAGTATGAAATGCAACATAATAGCCAATAAAAAACTGCAGACGGGAAGTGTATCTCTACACATCACTGACAGTGAGAAAACTAGGGACTTGATCACTGATATGGATGTTGTTTTAGCCGATAGCAAGCAGGCAGAATACAGTGCTGTCCTAAGCACATCCACCAAGGTCAAAGCCCAACCCTGTGAGATGACTCAACATCAAGTCAAAGTGTTGAAGATCAAGAATGGATTGATGGGCCGAGTCATTGGCAAAAAGGTACTAACGAAGTTGAAAAGCCTCCCCATTTACAGAAAGAAATGTTCTTCTCCATTGTATATAGGCCTCCATGTTATGTTATTTAGAAGCAAACTTTTATCGAACAAATGTCAAGGGGATGATTTCCTTTCATATGTTTTGCTTTTGTTCAATTTAGGGCAAACATCTTAAGCATGTCAACCAGCACTGCAATGTAAAAACCAACTATGGACGTCTGGATGAAAAGCATCACTTTCTGCATCTTGAAGGTGAGGACCCAGACCCTAAAACAAATACAAATACTGTCGGTTTTCAGTCGAGGATTTTGTTTCTTTTCAAGTAATGGCACATTCATTATACAAGATATGATCACACATTCATAGTTTAAGGTGCAGATGACTGCACAGAGCATTATAGTTGTGAAATAGCTCAAAATGTCAAGTGAGAATCAGTCCTACAAAGGTTGTACAATTGGAAAATGTGATTATCATAGGCAACTAAAATACAACCATATTCAAAATTTATTTGAAATCTAAACCCAAAGTACCAGAATGTGGGTTATTTTCCAATTTGTATTTTATAACTGCAGGCACAGCCAACAGCATCCAGCTAGCAAAGGACTTCATTCAAAAACATGTGGAAACGGTACAGTTGAATTTAATATTGTCGTAATCAAAGAAATTCAGTTTAAGCAAAGATAGATTGTAAAAAAAGAAATAAATGCCCCATGGTATTTCAAAAAATGCTTGAAATTTCAAATATTTATAAAAAGTTAATTTTCGTTCAACCCAAAGGGTATTCTGGAGATACCAGTGAATGAAATTGATGGCCTTTTGCTGACAGACAAGGACTCCACAGACAATGTGATGTAAGTGTCATATCTTTGGTCATAATTAAAGCAGCTGTGGTACACATCTAATTTTACTTGATCAACATATTGCAGTTGAATGCACATGTACAGAAAAATGCATCATATTTATTTACCATATAGCTCATGATTATTTGGATTCTGCATGTTCTGAAAGGAGGATCTTTCATGTCACAAGAACTCCATGTATACTTTTCTTGGTGTATTGCAGGAAAAACTACTACAGTACTAACCGACAATATGGCAGAGTTGTTGGGCACAATGTAAGTTTGAACAAATTATTCTTCTTTTTTTAATTGTTATGAAAAAAGACAATTTGAAACTTAATGCACAGCTACCAGAGAATTTACTAGGAAAATCTGTGTTTGACAGAGTTGAATGGTAGATTTGAAATAAGGCTGTTGTAACTAAATTGAACTTATGATTGATAACCTCTCTGCAGGGGAAGAACTTGAAAGAGTTGAGAAAACTAGGGGTCAAGGTCGACGCTTTGTCTGTGAGTGGACTCAAATGCCTCTCTCTAACAGGTAAAGTAATAGAAAACATAACTGAAAAAGGAAAAATCATAATCTGGGTCTAACTACATATGCCTGCATGTAGGATGAGATTTCATTAACATATTACCTGGGCCATCAACATATTCTTCACAAATTCATAGAAACGTTCAGTTTTACACAGCCAAAGTTATATAACCGTATAAAAATATATATATTAGTCTTAAGAGGCATTCAAGATTTGCAATATGATGGAAGCGACAGGATTTCTGAGTGTTCATCACGCAGTGTGATGTCTGTTTTGCTGTCTTATGAGCTGACACTGTTCAAAAGTGTGGCCGCATCTTATTTTCTTTTCAAGTACATACAAAAAACAAAATAAGGAACCATCTGGTAAACATTCATGTCCAGGTACAGCAACCCAAGTCCAGACTGCATGTCAGTGGATCCAAGATCATTTGTCTCCCAGACTCTTTGAGCCAGCTCCGGTACCTGAGCCTTTATCACCTTCGCCATCCATGCCTGAATCAGAACAACCAACTATTCCTGCATTGATTTCTAATCAAGAGTCTTCTAGTAGTGATGTAACAAAGGCCAGGATGGACTAGGAGATATTCACCTGTTAATGCCTTAATTATCACAAAAGTAGCTAAACTTGTGGAACTGAAAAATAATGCACCTTGAGTAATTATCAAGCAACATCTGAAGGCACTTTCATTTTAAAAATGTTCAATCTCATGTCCATTGTTTGCTCTATTCAAGAAAGAGTGAATCAGACTTGGGTAAACAGAATATTTCAAAAGCACAATATTGAACAAGTTCTATCACTCGGTGAAAAAAAGTGATATCCTTATGTTGTGACAAATGAACCTTTTACCATACAGTTGCTGCCTTATTGGTAACATTTATGTAGATTTAGGAGCTTGGTGAAAGCAGACAAACATTTTCCTGAGAAATCTTTTACTCTAAATTTTCCACAAGGAATGTCTTCTTAAGTGTGCACTGGTTGGAAAAGGAAGATGTGGCTTACAAATCAGTTCTTCTGAGAAGTGCTTTGTGAGCACCGTTAGTCATCATTGTTCAAAATAACGCACACGTACGTGAATCAGTCAATCAAATGAAGGAACATGAAAACCTTTGTTTACTTGATATGCAACTGCATGAGCTTTGACAACTTAAATATGCGTCAGAGGAAGTGTTTCTGCACAAACAAATGGGTGAATATTTGCCATGTTCTAAAAATAATTGAATGAATGTGACAAAAATTAATGAACATAGATTGATCATAAATGTAGTGGCAAATCTTTTGTCGCACCAATCTAAATGGAGTCACTGAAAATTTTCAAGATTCTGCGGTATACTTTTCTTCACTTGTGAATACTATTTTTATTATTTTAGTGAATTTCTTGTTCACTTGCAGTATGCCTGCCAGGAACAATAATTGGTACATTGACATTATAATAGAGATTAGAGATTATATTCTACTGTTGAATACTGAAGCTAGACTTCCATGATGCAGTTATAATAAAGTACATTCACATGTAAGGACCATTACAATATATGTTTATAGTCGAAAAGGAAACAAAATCATCGTAAGGAAAATTTATTGTGATATATAAAATAACAAAGTGTGTCAGATAATGTCCTTAAAAATCATCTGTAAATTGGTATTATGCAGTAACACAGATTATGATTTTGAGAAGTAATGGTTACATGTACATCATAACTTTCAATAAATACAAGAACAAAATGTTAAAGTTTGGTTGCATTTATTTGCAGCTTGTTTGAGTTTTGTGCCGTTATCATTCTCTTCAGTCGAAGTTTTTTTTTGGTCAAAGTTTGGCCTGCAGGCCCTGTCTTCATAGCAAGCTACAAACAACCAAATGGGAGAAACACTTAGCATGCGGGTATTTCACCTTCTACTGTGAATGAACCAATCAACAGTCGACCAAGTCTGCATCATTTGACCTGGGACTTTAACACGGACATCACTACACCATTGTAATGGGAGGGAAGGGGGGGTGCCATCATGGAATCTACTGATGGATTGATTATTGGCAGATTTAATGAATGTGATTGTTGTCCAATACCCAACCTGACACGTGATCTTCCCCTTTACTTCTCCATTCTTGCCAATAGCACCATGATTAGGCAGATGCCACTGGCTAATTGAAGGTGTGACACACCCATACCCCCCCTTCAGCGACACCCATGAACTTGAACCATTTCACCAGCCAAAAATGACTAAGACTTCTTGCAGAGTAATAAGCAACTGGCAGGGCATGGGAGTTGAGATGAATTTGGCCACAATTTTGGGCACAACACAGATTTCTTTCCAAGTTCAAATGACACACAAAAGGCTTGGAGGATATGTCTAACAAAATGAGGTACTTGAGCAATTACACGCATCTTTGGAAGAAACCCACAAGAACGAAAGAGGTATTTTGTAAATCGTATATATTTTAATAGAGAATGAATCAATATATAACCATAAACATACATTCAACTACATTCGATTACCACGGCTATCGCAAAGTAGTGCACAAAAATGAATGATTTTCTCAAGGATATTTTTCCAAAAGGAACAAGATCTTACCATAACAGCTGTTACTTGGAAATGTTGATGACAATTTCTGTGATTCTCAAATTACTTTCAATACATCAAAGTCAGTGCAATTAAAAATCGACCGCAGAATGAATATTCAGCAAGAAGGTGCATGGCAGACAGACACGATGTGAGAGCAGTGTTTCGTGGAAATGTACTCTATCAAGTTGCCAGCAACTTCTGTGCACTGTGATAAGGTGGCTGTGCTCCTCCTGTTTGGAGATGGGCCAAATGAGAAGGAGGTGGGACGTAAACATGCAAACGTGCAGCTGAAATATGTTTGTGCAGTCCAGCTTTCTCTGCCACTTGGTCCTTTCTTTTTATTTTCACAAGGTTAACATTAGCTGCCTCTATATCTTAGCTATCAGCTCCTCCCATTACAAACTGCATCCCGCATGTCACTGCTGTAATTTTGATACCTATCCTATCGACATTCAACATGATGCTATGATTGCTTATAACGGCCACCACCTGAAAACATGAGAAAAGTCTGAATCATTTCTCTTGCAGCATTTGCTGTGTAGCTATGAACAACTTGAACCATGAGTAAGTCTCTTAGGGAGGATAGAAGGCCGATGAAACATGAATGTATACGCTGCATAAACTACAGACAAACCTAATCCTGGAGATGCATCCCAGGAATTTGTTTCTAACAACGCAGACACTGTGTGCCGTAAAACATTTAGTTTGGACATTTTGACGTGAAAGTCACACAGTTCAAGATTGTTTGTGGAACTGTTTGGAATGTCCATGATACTTTTGTTCCTTTGTTGATTTATTTTGTTTATGTTTGGCTGAAAGATCTGTTCCTCAGCCAAACATCAACTCATAAAATATGAATGAAAACTCCACTCCAAAGTCTTCAATGAGGACAAGACAAAAGAAGAAAAATGCAAACTATTAATTCTTGAAACAAGTTTTGATTAAAAACACAAGTCTTAACACAGTTACATGAACCAATTACAAACTCAAATGATTAAGTCTTTCAACAATGGTTCTAGCTAGCACAGTAAGTGAAAAACAGTCAAAGCACACGAAAGAAAAGATAAGCATGTTTAAATCTGAAATGTGTATGTTCAAGCATGCTATAGGTGGATGCATCACACACCAACATAAGCACTACATGTAGAGACATCACAAGAAAATCAAGTAGTATGCTCATTTACATATCAAAGGACTGATCTTCTGCAAGTTATTTGCTCCCCATTTTTTCATTTTTACTTTGAACTCAATCACATTGCAACTACTGCAAATCTGGAGATTTAAGTGGACAGCTTTAAAAGATTCTTTTGCAACACAGCAAGAATCAAAGCCCAACAAAAAAGTTTAAAGGAGAAATGATCTAAGCGTGGGTACATGCCCTTTACTACCTCCTCCATGATTGCAACAGCCTAATTGGGTTTCATATGAATAGTCTAGAGGATTGCCACTACGTTACAACAAAAATATACACAAAAAGATTAACTGTACAATAACTCCTTGAACAACCAGAACTAGACTCAGTGTCAAACATTTCATTTGATTCTATATTAATAGGATCTTCCTAACAGAAGTCAAAAGTATTTAAAATTAAATGCGTAGCTTCTTTTTCGAGGAGGTAGAATTACTTCAGTGCATTGTAGCTGCGATTTTTCCATGGTTACATCCAGTTTACAACAGTGTTAAAAAAGTATTTCTAAATGAACGATTCCAAACTGAATGCACATCTCAGTGGTGAACAGTACGTTTGCAGCACTTGAAAATAAATCATCTTTCAAAGTAGTTCAGCATGACCACTTTTTTTTATTGTCGTTTTCATAAATTTGTCAGTTGAAGGTCCAAAAGTAATATTTAAATGGATTATAAATACATTTATCTTCAGGCGAATTTGAATTCTCAATTCTGACTGGTTGATCCATTGCACGGTTCATATCAAACCCCACGTAATGTGCTGTTCTAACTCAACACACTGCACTATATCTACGCTAAAAGCAAACGCACAACTGAAAATTTTACTTAAAATTCAAAGGTGGGGCGTTTGCGTGCATAGGCCCTTATAACATCTTTACTGTAGGTCAAGTTTGTTTGAAGATAAATTTGTTTTCAGTCTCGCAATCG